TGTTGTTGTTGTTGTTGTTGTCTTCTCCTCGTGTGCGCACTGAACGCAGGATTCGCCCATTTCCAGCTTAGTTCATAGAGGGCTCTGTGCAGTACAGTTGCCACATTCAGGCTGATGACATCCCTCTTAGAAAGATTTGCTTCCTGGAACTAGCCGAAAGACATAACCAGACAGAGACGAGGCTGCAACCAAAGGGATCATTTCGTTGTAACTGATGTGTGCGGCATGATGTGTGTGGCATGGCCGGAATGTGCAGGCAGTGCAGATGACGTAGAATAAAGTCTAGACGATCGTGCACAAATTAGCATAATTAGCATCATGGGTCATTCCATCATCCATCGCCGTAGCTGTGCTGTCGGAGACGGCGAAGATGGCCTGCCACAGAAGGCAGCGGGCCAGTGAGACAGCACACTTGGTGTGAGCCCGTTTTTGTGAGCGAATAAATGTACCATACGTGTGTATGCATGTGTGTGTACATGTTTGGGTTCCTATGCAAGTGTCTGCTCGGCCCTAGGCAAGCTGCACAGAACGAGCAGGATGGCATGCTAATTGTACGGCGTCCCGGTACCCAGTAGATCTTTGGTAGCGCCGTCATGGTGACTGGTGCGACGGCACTAGCTCAAGCGTGGGAAGACCATGCGGACTTGCGGCGTCATGCGCAACGGCTTCCTCCTTGCGTGCATGCTAACAGGCTGTGCACGGCCACCCTCTGACATTTCTGGCTGTGCAATGTGCTCCATATGCAGGTCCAATGTGTGGGTACGAAGGTTACAAAGGCATCCCTGTTGCCCGACGACAAGCTGGTCACCATGGCCATCATGCATTTGGGTAACCGAGTTTCAGTTGATGTTTGTGCGATGCATCTGCAGTCATGCTATGAGGTGCAAAGCATAAGCATCCCAGGACTTCTGCATTCAAAAATATCGGCATGTCTGCATCATGAGCCTCACGCGTATCGACTGTCAAGCTCTAGAACTATGCAGAGTGATTGTGCAGCAGAGTGTCATTCCCGGGTTTGGTTGCTCCGAGGAAGGATGTCTTGCAAGGTCTCTAGAGGAATCCGGGCCTTCTCAGATTCACAAGCACTAGGCGCAGAGGAGGCTCCATTCTGTACCTTCGGACAGAATCTTGTTCTGTCAACAATTGGTGGGAAACATGCATATAGTCGGGCCTCGTCATCATGAGCCAGTTCCTCGACTCACAATTACCCCATTAAGCTGAAATTCCATCCTGCTCGCCAGGAACCTGCCAGCCTCCAGATGCTTGTCAAAGTCGGACTTCGAAGCCTGGGGATGCAAAGGCCAGGACAGGGTCGATGTGTTTGGGTCTAACAAATTCAATCAAGGAGCCTTCATAATTCATAACCGCTTCATGCACAGCAGGGCTTACTACATCCTGTCCAAGTCAAGCTAGCCAGGCGTTCGCGATGATACATGCGTGTATCCAGCACTTCGGCTTCCTCCAGACACTCATCTCGCTTGCTCCTGCTCTGCACTTTCTGCAGTGGACTCATCGTCGGTAGCCGGCGCATCGGTCTTGAAATTGATTTCGATGTTCAGCTCCGTCATCATATCACGGACAAGTGCTTTCATTTAACATACGTTCGCAGGCTCCAAGCGAAGTCGTACAAACACCGTCTCCGAAGCACACAGGCCTGTCAAATGCGGTTAGTTATATCTAGTTTACAGAGCCTACCTGTGCCGAGGCCCCGTGGTTGTGACTCCAAAGAAGCAAATTTGCCTCGAGTACTGCACTGCTTGCTGATTGGATTCCATGCGAGTGAACTCATGCATCTGTGTCTGCCAGCTTCAGTACTTACTGCTGAGGCCCAGCAGCTCGAGAGATTCAAGAAACTGCAAGAGCTGCATCTCTTGAAGCAGTACAGCCAAGCGATGCCTGTGA